AAAAGATTTTCTAAATACTTTATATCATCAACTCCAAGTATTCTAGATCGTCCTAATGATGGTAATCTTTTTTCAACACATCCATATTTTTTAAAATGTAAAAAAATTCTAGAAATAGAGGTTTTACTAATATTAAGTTGTCTTGCTATTGTTCTATAAGAACAATCTTCTAAAGACCTTTCAACTATTAGCCAACAAATATATTCATTGAGTTTTAAAATAAGCATGTTGCAATAAAGGTGAAATAAATCTTTTTTGTCAATAATACATTATCATGTATTATTTTAATTTTTAATTTACCGAGTATCTAACAACTTCGATAACCCAGCAAATACTTAGCTAAAAAAATTGCCAAGTGTTCTGTTACTTATAAAAATAGCTATAATTAAGAAATTGATAAACCATTATGTGCTCATTATTTTTGATCATTATTTTTCCTTTTGAGTGATTACTTTTTTTTTACATTAACATGAAATTTCGCTTTAAAAATAACTTTTTTCAAGATTTTCTTAAAAGTAATAATAAATATACAACTTTTATAGCAAAAATATATGTATTTTTATGCGAAAAAAAATATTTTCTAATATAATAGAGTTAGTTTTTCAGATAGATCCTACACAAAACACAAAAAATAATTTTTTTAATAAAAAAAAGTATTTTTATTTTATAAAAGTTTTAAAATAAGAAACCTTTTATAAATGTTATGTTTTTAAATACAACTTGGTAGAAATAATAACTTTTAATAAGGTAAATAATATTGCATTTTCTTTGAATAGTATCATTTTAGCTAATTAGAAAATATTAATTAATATATTTAAAATAATGTAGAAGCTTAAGAAAAACTATGTAAATAATAGTGTAAAGTATATGTTTATTAATTTAAAATTACTATATTATAAGAAATAATAAATTAAAACTCTTATTTACTTTGAATTATGAAATATAGAGAGAAAAAAATAATTATTTTAAAAAAATGACTAATATAGATCATGGCGAAAATTAAAGTATATTTTGGTTTTATTTTTAATTTAATTTAATTAATTTATATTGTTATATTTTATTGCTAACATAAATACCTTTTTTTTTATTATATTTATGATTTTGGTTTGTGATAGCTTCAATAATTTCTTACTTTTTTTTTTATCCATCCATCCAATAATTTTAAAACATCTTCTATTTCTTCTTCTGTAGGTGAATTTGGTGTTAACAATGATATCAATAGATTTTTTTCTTCTTAAGTAATCAAATGATGCATTATTTTTTATTTTTTGGATGATGGTTCAAAGATATTTATCACATTTGAATCTAAAATATTCTAAAATTCTAGAAAAGAGGAAGATGATTATTGAGGTAATATTAAATTATTATTATCCTGTTGAATATATATTAGTGGGTATTTTTCTTGTAATTTATTAACTATTTTTTTTTTTCAATTTTTTCAATTTCTTTTTCAGCTTTTTTTATATCTTTAACTTTACTAATAATTACATCTTTAGCTTTTCTTCCTTTAGTATTAATTGGTTCTATTTGTAATATTTCTTGTTTATAAATTATTTTTAATCTTTCTAATCCTATATTATAACAATTATATAATTTTTGATATCCTTCATAATTTTATTGACTATTATTTTTAAAAAGTGAATGGTTAATGGAGTAATTGAATCAAAAGCTTCTATTAAAAGTTTTGTTAAATTCTAAAGAGCTTTATAACAATTTTTAATTAAATGTTTAATATATAATATCATATTATTATCAATAAATTCATTAAAAGTAATTCCATTCTTTCTTGTTCTATTTATGCAAATTTAATTTGATTCTTTAAGTTTTCTTCATTAATAATATTACTGAAATATTTTGTTTTATAAATTTTACTTCATATATTTCAAGTGCTTCATCAAATGCAAAATAATGTCCTTCTTTATTAAATTAATAGATCCAGCATAATACAATAATTTTTTATATCGTGGATATTTTGCAACTAAAGCTAAAAAATGTACTGTTGATTTAGTATAATTTAGTTTTCCTGTAACTGGAAATAATGGAGTAAATTCTGCAAAACATTTAAGTTGTATATTTGTATTTTCTGTTCTAATACCACTTAATGAGCTTTTCACCAACTACACTATTTATAAAAATGATACTATATTTTAAGTAAATCATTATCTTCTTCTTTTATTTGTAAAATATTAATTTGTTTTTTTGTAATATAAATATGAATTGCATAAGTTATTGCTAACCATATTAAATCTAATACTTAACATGTAGAATAATAATCTACTACTAATTCTAATTTATCTAAAAATTTTATACCTAGTATAGCAGCAAGATTATAAATTCCATAACTTGAAAAAACTGTTAAAAGTACATTACACATATCTTTTGAAGTATACAATTATCCTAAAATAGGTCTAATTCTTGTATTTTTTTGATGAAGTTTAAGAATTCTACGAAAAATTACTTTATCATAACTAAGGTTACTGGACGAAATCCAAAGTTTAGATAGACATCTAAATGGTAAAGGTAAAACTTGGTTAAATTATATTAAAATCTTATTAAAAAATCTGCAAAAT